CAAGCTATGAGGGGAAGCGGATTCCCCGACACTATTTTCTTCCATATGGTTGGTCGTTGTTAGCAGATCATGCTCGGAACTAGGTTCGTCTTCCAAGAACAACGATTCTGACTGTGTGGAATGGACGTTGAGCGTGCACCCGCGTGCATTCCTCGCAGGCAGTAAAGCCCAGGCTACGGGTACACCCGTGCGCTCACGGACCTTGAGCACCGATCGAAGTTGTCTCACGCGCGGTGTTCGCTTCTTCTGAAATGCCCGAAACAGTTGTCCTCGAGCGTCGTTCTGAGCATTCCCTGCGAACAACGTCCAGCAGAACAGCGTCCCGTTGAGACTTGTTGAGGTCATGTCTGCTAACATCCCTTGAAAAAAAGAAAAATAAGTAAGAGCAATGTCAGACTGTAAACTTTGACGGTGTTGGTCTAAGGGCGCGATGACTGCAAGTCTTCTCTTCTTTCTGGGTTTGAAGATGATGTCGGCATTGCGGTAAAGTTTTGAGACCTAACACCGCGCTGTAGGCGTTAAATTGCGGAAGCGTTCACAACAGCTGCGGTGCATCGATCGGCGCCTGTCCATACTTGGGCTATTCCTGGGAAACGCTCTCAAAACGATCTTCTGCACGGTGTCCACGATAGGGGACAACAAAGCACGAAACAAGTCGAAAGCAGGTACACAATTTCAAACCCATGTTCCAACTAGAAAAAAAAAGAAAACAAATACAAGAGAAATAAACAAAAAAGGTGTCGCAGCACCGAACTGAGCGCCATGATGTTTTTAAAGCTCTCCATCGCGGCAGGTGTTCCGTGAGTTCGCAGGAAAATTGGCGACGTGCGCGACTGAAACAGCGTCGCTGTGATCGGCCTTCCACGATTGACCAAACGCCAACTAGGACATGAAGCCTTGTGTACGATGAATTCTACATTCATTCAGGCATGTCAGACTGTCAACTTTGACGGTATTGGTTTAAGGACGCGGTGACTGCAAGTCTCTACTCTGCTGTTTACACACACCGTAGAAATTGTCTCTGGTAATCGATAATTCCGTGCCGTCACAGATAGAAGGGAGGCACACTTTTATGAATCTTAAGCTGCGGTTGCGGATTGCGGGCCCTGCGGACGCGTGCCTAGTCCGCGCTCAACGTGGTGGCACGGGCTCACGCTAGCTCGCACTGTACTCCCGCTTGCATCAGACTTGAAGCTCCGCCTTCTACGCGAGCTCGCTGGCTACCGCAGCGCGCATATGGTTGGTTGCGCGTGCCTGCGCGTTCACACTTGTGTTAGCAAGGGAAGAAAGCTTGCTTTGAAGCGGAGCTTCTTGCCTCAGCTTAAGGGTGAACGGAGTATTAGCGGCGAGATGTTTTAGTGGCGCCCTCCTACGGTTCCCTTTTGTGACGTCATTACCTTGCAAACAACAAGTTTGATGGTGTTTGTAAATAGCATGTTGGGAGCCTGAAATCATTGCGCTCTCAAAGGAACACTGCCAACACCGTCAGAATTAAAGTCCTTTCATTCCTCTTATTTCCGTCGATGATAAATCCTTTTCTGACGTCATAGTCAGCGTTCGGCCAATCGTGGAAGGCCGACCACAGCGACGCTTTCGGTCGCGCACGTCGCCAATAGTGCCAACGTTACTCTAGTAACGTTGGCTCTTGCGAACGATCTAGGAAAGCTCCCTCTGCCGATACTTGCAGAATCTCACTTCAAAGTTGTAATTTTAGAAATGATTCCCAACCATCTGAATTCTACATTAGTTCAATCCCGGATTTATAACTTCTTTTGTGTTTCCTCCAGAAAGCATGTCAAGAAGACGCCTTTCCATGGCTATGAACCGGTTAAAGCTGCAAACTCGCACACTCTTCCTCTCTTCAGAAATGTCGCAGAAAGTTCTCGTACATATTGTACGCCATATTATAAGCACGCATATTCAAAAGCTAAACAAATCGAGCGAAAAAAAGATTAAGGCCTCCAGATTACGTGTTTGGGTTTGGCCCTCCGTGCTTCCGCTTTGTGTTGGAGCCATCGGGGCTATACTCTGTTTCACGTTATGATGTACCGCAGGAAAGGCTACAAGCGCGAGCTCCTTGCTCTAGGGCACACCTCGGCGGCACAAGCTCTCGTGCGTCAAGAGCAGCTGCCAACGCTATGAGCTCGCGCTTCTAGCCTTCGCTGCGGTACAAAAGAAGGTGAAACGGAGTATAGCAATGTCGATGGCGACTGCTCGAGGACAGTGTGGTGTCTGCTAATGATCTTCTCCACACTGATGGCACCACAAAAGACTGGTTTTGCTGCGCGACAATGGCAGCCTTTGTGTTTTTTCACCCGAACAAGCTTTATCATGTTGGACTGCATATTTACATCCATGTCATCTGCCGCCTGTTGGTGGCGTTCGAGCGTTAAGACAGGTTGCTAACACGGTGTATGGGAAATGTTGGCGCGCAGTGTTTGCCGCGTGTTCATTCAGTGAGACGTACGAGGCCCAAAACATATATGCGCTGTTCTCCTGGAACTCGGTCGTTCCTTGAGAAAGGCTCTCACGAGTTGCTGCCGCCGCTTCTCTCCGGTATATGACGTCATACGCTCGCGTGACGCCATGGTAGGGAGGATCCCGCCCGGTTTTTGAAGTACCTTGACTGTTGGCGAATGTGACAGGTGCTATAGAGTTTCAGCCGTGCAGCTGGTGACAAGTGCTTCCCCGTGGTTCCGTTCGCACGGTCATAGCCTCCTGTACGTGTGGTTGTTCTAGGCTCGGGGTCAAATCGATCAGAGCGCCAAAGCGAAACAAAAGCGTGCCGAGCCGAGGCACGCCAGCGATTTAGACTCTTTAAACTCGAGTTCAAATGCTACACCGCTCGTGTAATTTTTTTTTTTATGCTGTTTTGTTGCGTGGGTAAATTTTACCTTTGTGATGTTGGTGTAACCACGAACTCGCCCCACCTTGGGGAGCTGCGGAGGAGCTGTGCTATACTCTCCTTTTGCTGGGCATCCGAGCGTTTGGAAAAGCCGGGGGAGAGCTTTGCGCACCAGGAATCTCAGGCCATGAGCTGACTCGGAAGTTTTTCTCACCTCTTTCCACTTTAGCAGAGCAAACGCTGGAGACAAGGTGACTTCCTCTCCAGCATTCGTTCCACTAAGTTGGGAAGACATGGGAGGAGCTTTTACTTCACTTTTAACCTGTCACCGACTATAACCGACGGGCAGTTTTAAAATGCGGAGGTAACCAAAGAACGAGATATAAACAGAAAATGGAGAGAAACCTTACAGGTTGGGGGAGGGGGGGTATCATTTGTCGTCGTAAACGCTTCTTTGTATTGTTTCGTAGCTCCGAACTACCTTTTATTCTTAGTATCCATCCGGGAAGTGCAATGGGCCAATAATCACTCGTGACGTCACGTCATTACCTTACCCGTCGCCATACTTCCGCTAGAGGCTCGCCATATCCGACGTTTCGCATTCCATATATACTTCCGGTAAGCGCGCGTTTTCGGGTGGACTGAACCGTGCACGCGAGTTGGGAGGCCACACCCGCAGATTACACAACCAAGGAAAACACCGAAACAAAACGACGCCACGCGAGTGATGAGACGATACAGTGTGACTCATGACGTGGTGCAGTGACTAATCTTCGTTAATAAATTATCATTAGATGATGCCGTCCCTCTGAGGGGTGGGGCGGTGGGGAAACGGGGGAAGGGGGGGGGGGGGGGGAGGACAGCGGGAGAGAGAAAGAGGGAGAGGTAAAGAAGAAAAAAAGAAAAGAAAGGGAGATCTGCTCTCAAAGCGAATGGGGTGTTTCTGCATCGTCGGGGGGTCGATGAAAAAAGAACTCTCCCATTTTTCAAATCGCCCCCTCTTTCATTTCTCCCGTCCATCCGCCAGTTTTAGCTTTTAAACTTCATCGGAGTCTTTCTCTCCGCAAACGTCACAACAGGGTACTGCCTCAACCCTCTCACACTTTAAAACGAAATTGAAAAGAGAACGGGGAAATGAAGTCCGCCAAAAAGAAAAAAAGAAAAAAAGGTGGACTTTCAAATGGCGGCTGCGGTGCCATCGATCGCCGGCGACAAATGTAGCTGTCGTGTGCGCGTGCCAGATCCACATTGCGTCCCCAGGCTTACACACGGCGAGCTGTTTTTAGGACCCCTCAATTCATTTTTGTTTTGTTTGTAAAAAATAATACAAAAAAAAAATGGTATGATTCACGCGAGCCGCGTTAGGCGCGTCGGCTGGAAAGGATCGCAATCGGACACGTTCATATAGCAAGCGCGGCTGATTTCCCCTGGCGGTGTTTTTCGGTAACTCGGTCATTTCGGGCTGCGACTGGTTTTGTTGCGGATATGAGTATCTGTGAGCTACACGATTGCCGATCTCTTGAGTCGGACAACGACAAGAGTGGTGAGTTGTTTTTTTCTTCTTTGTTTGCATTTTTTTTTTAATGCCGCGTGTATATTTTGTTGATTCCGTGATAGGACACCCATACTCGCGGACAACTTTGTGTGGCTATGCACTCAAAGCTATGGGCGCGCGTGCGCTTGCATATCTTGAGCGCCCATCAAAGTTATGCGCGCACACTTGATCACTTCGTCTGAAATGCCAGAGAAAGTCGTCCGCGAGCATAGATGAAAACACGCTTACTTGAAAGATGGATGCTTTAATGCGAGCCGGTAGTACCTCGATGTCAAGTGTGCGTGCGCCAGTGACGTTAGTCATGCATCACAATCATCCCGCACGACCTTCGTACCTGTAACACTGAACATTTGCTGACCTTAGTTGAAACATTCTAGTCACTATCATTATGCTTCGCTGTTGCGATTAGGAATTGCTGCATCAGTTTCTCTCCAACTCTGAGTGCCTTAGATCATTTGTGCGCTGCTCAATTCAAGACCGAATAATTACGACACCGGGACGGGGGAAAAAAGTCAGTTACACCGCCGTCGCCTTACAATCAAGGTCAGAAACCAAGCACTCATACACTACACTTCATTTAGCACCGAGGAACACCACGGGTTAGGCCGCCGGCGCCAGAGATCTTGGAGTAGAAGTCGATGCTGTGGCCGCGTTACCACTGTGGACAACTGTGCTCTGGTTCAAAAGTGCCGCGGACACAACCCTAGCGGTTTGGTCTGGACGAAAAAACGGTTGTTTCTGATTCACCTCTAACTCCAAGCTCTGCTTGGCGACGATAGCGTACGTCTCGTTCGTCATCAAGGGCACAGGTCCACCGCCTCCGGCAGTACTTCCGGCAGTGCCTCCGGCTGCGGACAACGAGAGATCGGCCACGCTCTTGCCTCTGTTCCTCGGATGACCATTCGGCCCGGTGCTGGCAACGAGGCGCTTGTTGCCGCCACCACTCTGAGCCGCCAGCTTGGTCTTGGAGGAGATGTAGTTGCGTACCTCTTCGGCGTTCTTCTTCAGCTTGGTGTAGTTCGTGAAGGAGTACGTGAGGACGCACGCACAGCCCAGGATGGACACTCCCAGCACGGCGATGATGACGTACAGTCCCTCCCTGTTGATGAGAACGACCGGAAGGCTGACCTGCGTGTGTAGTCCCGCTTCCATTAGGACCTGGCGGCGCCCGGGTGCATTTCAGTTGGCAGTTGGTTTCAATCGGACGTCCCGCCGGTTGCCCGCTGTCCTGGACATTCTCGGATTGGATGCCGCCTTGCCGCCTTCGGGATTCAGAGTCCGATCCGAAAGCGAGGGCTCGAGAATGGGGCGCGTTCGTTTCGTCTTCGGGGCTTCGTCTTTTTCCGCTTCTCTGTCGTGCGTGTAATGACAGAAAGAGCGAGAGAAAAAGAAGATAGAAGGGGCGGGTGGTTAGCGCAGCTCGGTAGCACGTGCGGTGAGAGTTTGCGCATCCTGAAGTTGAAGTCCCAGTCCTGCCGATCCCGGTTTATTTTGGCCCGTTGCTTTTAAGCTATTCTGTTTACCCGCGTATACGCTGTGGGGGCACTGCACACGCATAGGAGCCTGTTTTGTTTTCAAGAGCGACACATCTGTACAAAGGGGCGGCATACCGGGCCGTGTATTTGGATAATTACTACTGCACGATTACCTTTAATTACAGATTCCAGCTTAGTTAGCGTCCATACTGCATTCTTTGTGTTTTATTCATCATTGTCCTGCAGCGCCATCACGCATTATCGGAAAGGGCGAATAACCTCGAAAAAAAAAAAAAAACATTTTTGAATTCGCGGCACACACAATCGCACTGGGCAAGGCATTCCACTCCTTATTTGTTTTAACAGAAAATAATAATTTGTGTCCAATTCCGTTTTTGCGCGGTATTCTCTAATCTGATGAATTTGGTCTTCTTTTTAAATATAATTTGGTGGTAATAAGTAAAATTAGATATTAGTCCCTGTTATATTGTTGTAGATGTTGTATAAAAACTTCAAGCGCAAATTTCTTCGTCTGACTGCCAATGTAGACCATCCCAGTTCTTTGATCATGTCGGTTGCACTCTCAAAAAGGCCGTACCGCACCAAAACGAAACAAGCGGCACAACTCAGACTTTTTTTCTAAAGCAACAATGTGGTTTTGCTGAGAAGCATCCCAAACGGTGCAGGCGTCCTCTGGCTCTGGACGTACATAAGACATATAGGCGAGCTCTTTCATAGATTTAGTTGATTTCCTTAAATTTCGTTTTAAAAATCCAAGTGCTCTGCCGGCCCTCATAACAACGTCGTTATTAATGTGTTCGTTCCAGGTGCAGTCAGCTAACAGAGTGACGCCAAGATATTTAACTATTTGCTTTTTTGTCACGGTTTCATTATTCAGTTGGCAACATGTTTCAACTTTTGTTTTGGTTTTGCGAGTAAAACTAACATGGACACATTTTTTAACGTTTAACTTCACCTTCCACTTTTTACACCATAGCTCTATTCGATTCAGATCACCCTGCAGCCGCGTGGAACTCCCCTCATCTGTTATGGATGTATGAACAACACAATCATCGGCAAACAATCGTACCTGTGAATTAACACCGTCAATGATATCATTACCAAATATTAGAAACAACAATGGACCCAAAACAGACCCTTGCGGTACACCAGATGTTACCATAACAGTATTTGAAGCTTTACTATTTAAAACAGCACGCTGAAGACGTGATGACAAACACGTTTTTATCCAATTTAGAATAGTCGTGTCAAAATTCAAGCGCTCTAATTTGTATAATAATAGTTCGTGTGACACCGTATCGAACGCTTTTTTTATAATCTAAGAAAACACAATCAATCTGTCCGCCTCCGCTGAGGGCCAAGTTGACCCTTAGTGTGCGAGTAGTGTGTAAATTTGGTCGATGCTTAACTCTTGGAAGAACCAGTTTTAATTGCCCTCTTACAAGTGTACTGTGCTAAGAAGTTTCTTTTTTTTTTTTTTTTGCAAGATTTTGTTTAAGGCTTATCAAATACTGATGTTGATCCGTAAAAGAAAAATTGTATACACAACAATTTGGACTTTTTAATTTTATTCTTGGCTCTTAGTGCTTTATGGCCTTAGTCGCATTTTCATCCTGCAACACGTATGCACCAACAAACCAGCTGCTTTTGTTTTGATGATATCTGCTAGTGCCGGATCTCACTCTTCCTTTTGATCGAGGGACTTCGTATTTTATCATCGGAGAGGGATAATTGAACTGCTTCAAGAAATGCGGAACCAAACATTTCAGTTTCTATAATAATTTGCGCACCATTTTTCCGCGAGTGGGGTCTGGTGTAAAAGGGAAGCGATTAATTGGTCTAACAAGCACATAGCTTTCACTTGTGGAGCTGAAAGGCTGTCCTTTGTATCCTTTGGCCGGAAGCACATACATTTCACTCTCATATTAAAGGATCTGTGCAACGATATTCAACTGGAATGTTTTTCACTTGACACGAGCTTACTGGAACACCTGGAACTCAAGGATACTCACACGCAACGCCACTGGCCAAGAAACTCCTTTGTTGCGGCGTAATTTCAAGGACAAAAGCGATAATTTTCATTCAATCTCTCCTTCGCAAAATTTGATGACGTAACGTAGGGATCGCAGTACACCCAAGTGACGATATTTGAATGCGGTTCATAGATTAGACCCGAGCATTGCGTGGGCACTCGACTTGGGCTCGTGATAATTGCTAGCTCGAGAAGCATTCGGGTAGTGACCCGTGTCCAATCGCTGCAACGACGACAACAGCCGAGCCATAACAATGTCTAGAACTCAGCGTGTGACCTGCGCTTTGCCAACCCCAGCGCGTGGCTATGATCAACACTGGTGGCATATAATCGGCTCCAGATCACGTGGCCGCTTGTTCTCGCTGCGAGTTGAGGGGGTGAACGCTGCTCGTTTTTCTTTAATTTTTTTTCTGAGACTTCTATTGCGTGGGGTGAAAAACGAGCGCGTGTTTCATAGGTCATTTACGTTAGGGATCCGTTTTAAGCGGATATTTGCGCAAAGTACAAAAATTGTTGCATCGCTCCTTTAAGCGCGAATAGGGGACTATGACGTCAATTTCGTTTCGTGTGCTCGCGCACACCGGCGGCTCCTGGCTCGTGGAAAGAACGTGCGCCACTTATTGTGGACACTAAATTATTTGGTTCAGTATTCCTTTCAGTGCGACTGGAAATTCATTGCCTAACACATGCGTCATACCGCGTTTTGTTCCAAGAGCACGCTGTAAAGGTGCCTTCGATTCAGGTGATAATGATATCCATGATATCCATCACTACGCAAATGATGGCTTTTGCCGAGTGTTCCAGAAAAGGTCAAGAAGCACGACTTCGAACCACTATTTTAGAATGTTCCTTGAAAGATTCGAGCCGGAGAAAACGCGTTTTCGTTTCGTGTAATGTATAATTGAGGACTACAATAAAATTACCAGGAAGCTTTATATTCGAAGTACTGCACAGCATAAAAACCGTTTGAAGTGACCATTTCATTTCTTCTAGAAAATATTAAGCAGTTATTTTGGGGAGTGAAGAACATACTCTGAATTAATTTTGTCTCTAAATGTAGCGGAGGAATTGGCGTCGCGTGACCGTACGTCACATTAAGTCATGGTATCACTTCACACCGTGATGTTACGATGTCGCGTGACCTGACATCAGATGACGTCAGATCTCGTGACGTTAATTTGCCCTCTAAATTTAGAGGGGAAATTGATGTCACGGTGTCAGATCTTGGTGTCAGGTGATACTCTGACTTAACGCGACTTTAGTTTTCCCGCTAAATTTAGCGGGGAAATGTACGGATGGACGGACAAAGTTTTACTTTGAGAGGATTCGGTTGAAAAAGCATTTTATGCTTTAAAATTGCTGCAGAATGTTCACTAACCTGTATGACACTTAGCTTTCGTAATAAAATAACTCACGGGCAACAAGTCACATTCTAAATGGTACAAAAAGGAGTCTTTTGAAACAACAGTGTACCAGAAAGTGCCCTGCTTGAAGGATTGCTCGATTAAGCCGAGAACTACAATTACTACCACTACCACTCAAAGCACGCAGCGTCATCCTCTCACCCTCGTCTCCAAGTTACATTTTAACCATCGTCGGCACCCCTATGTCATCTGTACACTGTGTCATCGTAGATGCGGCGCCGCAGGCCTTCGCGGTATAGGCTACTTGCCTTCTGCGGCGCCGGCATTCTCTTTAACCGAAATACTGTTTTTTCACTGGGCGCAATATATGTGGGTGATGTCTAGAGCGCATGCTCTGAACAAGCCCACATTAAAAGGCTGCTAAGACCGGCAATCTTGAGGGTGCGGAATGCACGTTACAAAAGAACTGTAGAAGCTCGCCATCAGCACGCGCTCAGCAGTCGTGCACACAGCTATGGCCCGCCAGTGAATGCTTCCTATACTCCGTTTCACCTTATGTTGTACCGCAGCGAAGGCTAGAAGCGCGAGCTCATAGCGATAGCAGCTGCCCTTAATGCACGAGAGCTTGTGCCGCCGAGATCTGCCCCAGAGCAAGGAGCTTGCGATTGTATCCTTTTTCGCGGTACATCATAAGGTGAAACAGAGTATACTATACTATACTTTTGGACAACTTTATAGGGCTATTGAGAAGAAGTGAAGAGTGCGCGTGCACACCTTTGATTGGCGCTCAAGGTGCGCGAACGCTTGTGCGCCCATAGTTTTGACGGCACAGCCACAGAAAGTTGTCCGCAAGTGTACTACTGCTACTAATACTACTACTGCTACTACTGCTGACTGCTGCTACCATCACTGCCCCACTACTACAATATTCAAGCTCCGTTTCGCTAAACATTTTAGGCTCATTTCTCTTTCGTTGATTATTTTCTCGCTGTTGCAATTTTCGCCAAACGATTTCTTGCCGGAAAAAGGTAATTTACTACACTTTTCTTTTCACCGAGGGCAGTGCTCTATGCTAATCGGCTTTGCAACATGGCCCTGGTGGAAGGCGGTGAAAGCAACCCGTCTCTATAGCTTCGCTCAGGTTGCGTTTGTTTGTTTGTTGTTATATTCTGCTACGGAGCGAAAGGGGCTGTCGGCTGTTTCGGATATAAATTATGTAGCAACAGTGCCGGGCTAATGAAACGAGACAATCTAGTTAGGGAAACTGCCGCACTTTGTGCAACTCACATCGCGGAGCAGCTCTGTAGGCTTGCTCCCCTTTTTTCCTCAGCAAAATGCAAACTAAAGCTCGCGTTTATTTTTCTTTACCGCTTTGCCTGGAATTTGTGTGTCTCCCCCATTCACAAAGACGTTTAAACGTAAACGACCGAATGAGGAAAAAAAAAAAAAAGAAAAGAAAAGTTGTTTCGAAAGAATACTTAAAATATGTATTTAGAAAAAATTCAATTTTTTTTCTTCCTTCAAGATCGGAATTTTTAAACAAGTCATGCTCAACCGCTACAACAGAAACACCAAAATTTTGCCTGCTGACAAAAATTAAGTAACCTCTCTGTCTGCAGGGGCAACTCTCCTCAGTAGAGCACCTTAGATAGCAGAATCAACGGCGCTTAAATGTAAAACAAAAAAGCGTATAAAAAGACGAGTGTTGCTACTTCCACTGACAGTTTAGAGCAGCTTTTACGTTGCTAGTACATCATACACAAAAGACGGTCTGTAAGCCGTGTCTTTTGTATAATGGGTGACAAAGGTAAAAAAAACAACAAAAAAAAACAGGGCGCAGTTTATTATGTTTATGCCTCGGGATTGGTTATCCACCGCTCATATCAGGTAAACTTGCAATCTCATTGGCTAAGAAACGACAATGAGGTGCTCGGAATTCGCCACTCCCCGCTCGTTTCTTATGTTTGTCGAGGACTATGGCAACGTGCATTTCATATGTCATTTGAGCAGAGTTGTCATACACATGACGCGCGCTGTTCGGTACAGACACGATGACGGAGTTATTTGAGGACAGACCTCGAGCACGTTCGAAGCATGTTTGCTTCATGGAGTATATGTATGCCTCGAACAAAGTCTGCCTTTTGTATGAGTGAGACACGAGGCCTGTTTAGGGGGGGGGGGGGGGGGGGGGGTATGGGGTATACCTTTTTTTCTTCCTTAATCATCAGAAGGAAGGTAAGTAAGTAACATGAAAAGGGTGAACCTTTTTACTATTGTCATCTATTTATTCGCGTGTCGATTTTGCTTTGTAAAAGTTGGTATAAAGGTCTTGCAGTATCTTTGTAAGGTCCGGGGGAAGTGATTGATTAGGAAGATAAATTAATAACAGTTCCAAATTATCGTTGCCGGCCGGGAGGAAACCACTCGTTATAATTGCGTTTGCGGTGTTCCGACCTCGTAGGTTGGAAAACCGCAGATTTCCAAAAAAGAAAAAAAAAAAAAAAGTTATAGTTAAGAAATCGAGCAACTTCTAGTTTACAACGTTTTCAAAGCCGCTGGTGTGAGTGCGCGATTTAATCTATAGAATTTCGCTTTCGCGCTCTCTTCTGCACCTCCATGCGCTTGCATGTGACGTCGCCGCATCCTGCCGGTTGTCATTCCTACTCGTTCTTGTCGAGAAAAACATCTATTCATTGGTGCGAAAAGTATGCGGCCGAAGGTTACGCTCTCAGCAACAAGGCCGCCACAATGGCCGTCGATCTGATGTCAGTACAAGACTCGTGTATAAGCAATGTGGCGTAGAAGCGGCGACGTTACTAGATTAGGCCAGTTGTGGAGCTCCCGTGGGGAGGGGTCCCTTACCCCCTTCCCTTCGCCTCCCGTCATTTGATGCGCCATCTAGGTTTTCGTTTCAAAACTGTGTTCCATAGAATACGGTGAAAAACGCCATCTAGACGCTGTGCTTCAAGCCATATGCAGTGATGGAAGTGCTGCGCCATTTGCGCCAAATTGCGCCTTGAGCGAAAGTCTGCTACATCTTGCGCCAAAGTTCCATTTTGGCTAAGAATTGCTCCATACTTGCGCCGAGATAGGTAGAAAGAAAATTGATATCTTTTTTTATTGATTGACTTTAATATTCAAAGAAGTAGACAGAAAGAAAAACGGTAGAAGTATGCATTTCACAGCGTCTCTACTCACCATATACGGTGTTTAAGGTCAGAGCACAGTCGAAGGCTCGAACATACACAACGCGAACACACAATGACAGCGAAAGTCACAGGACATTCGCTGTATTTGATTGGTTTAGTCTATGGAAGAACACGTAGGGTGCCTCGATGTCGCGCTTTGACCTTGTTTGGTTAATCGCATTAGCTCGTAGCGTCGGCTGCGCTTTAAATTAAGGCGAAACGAAGTTTTAAGATTGCTCGACCATCGCGTTGGCCGGTTGATGCGCTAACGGCTTGATCACCGACATCCTATAATATTTCAGACGGTGTCGGCGATGTCAGGAGCCAAAAGTCGCGACCAAACATTGCGAAATACAAAGTAGGATGGCGGGTACTGCGATAAGACGGAACCAGGCTCTTGTACTCCTGGTGAGATCAGTTGATTATTCTGTCTGCCTCCATGGCGCCTCTCACCAGCCCACGCGCGTCGAGCTTCACTGCCTTGCCCCGGAGTGTTCGGAGTAGCTGCTGCCATAGGTGAGCGTCTGGTTTAGTACGATATACATGTAAATTATGCTCAGGACTATTGCAGGTCCACATTCTTTGATCTCAATTATATGATCTTGTTTTGAAATGCTGCGTCGAGACAGAAAAAAACAACATACGCCGTGCTTTGTTTGACTAAATGTAAGCGCAAGAGTAGGTTTTCATAATATTTGTGGGTGACTGTTTTTTTTTTTTTTTAGTTTATAAAATCCAAGTTTTGAGTTTGGTAACGATCAAATTTGGGAGGCGCATTTTTACTGATAGGCGTGTTAGCTATTATGTTGCTTTTAACAATACATACAGGCTAAATAAACTACCGGGTGTAAAAGTGGGAGGGGACGGAGGCTTTATCATAACTGAAATGTGATACATTTGTCATCAATTTGATTAGTACCCATTGTAAATGGAGCCTTCTCTGAACAAAGCCTTATTTGTAAAAAAAAAAAAAGAAGAAAAAAAGCTCTATGTACCTTTTGTTCCCTATTGGTTCTTATTGCAAAAGGTAATAAGTAATATGCTCCTGTATCAAGGACAAACCTTTAGTCATTATCAAATTTAGCAATGCAATCAATTCTTTTTCCCTCAAATGATGTGCTAACAGATGTTGGCATCTGCTCCTAAAGCGTGAGTGGCTGCTCCAAACCACTGATTTGCCTGCTACTAAACCTGCCACAAAAGGTCAAATGCCTCCTCCATCACTGCATATGCATTCCATACTAATAAGCTGCAGTTACCATAGCAGCCGTCCTCAAAATGGTGACGCGTCGAACGACGGAAGGGACGGGACCGTGGGGAGAGAGGGTATTAGCGGATCTCCGGGGGATTCACGAACAATAACGTCATAACGCGTGGGCCTTGTCTTCTATGTGGCATTGCCGTAAGACGCGATAAAGTCACCCACTCGGTCCACTAAGCTTTGAAAGCGTTGTACGCTATGCATGAAGCGAAGTGTAGCTCCATTTCAAACTCGCATCAAAATGTCTGGGTTCACCGCGCGCGCTCGCCGTTGCATATGTGACGATTTCAAAATGCCTTCTGTCTCCCAGCTTCTTTTTTTTTTTCTCGTCGCGACCCTATATTCATTTATTTTCGCCCTCTTTTCCATCTGAATGTCGTAAACACGCCTGCACGATCTATTCATAACGCCATTATTTCAGTAGCGCGTCGAGACTCGCAACGACGAGGCGACTTCAGGCGCCGGCGCACTTTCGTCGATTCCAAGTTTTGTATGTGTTTCTTGTCGATTTAGTCGGGCGGGGAACCGACGGTTCCTTTCGTTGACCTGTGACATTTCGGGGGAAAGAAGATCGAGCGAAGGGAGCGGCCGACGACGACCCGAGCAGCGCGCCGGGCGGGGTCCCACTCTGCGGACCGCGCTGCACCGCTAGAGAGACGAAAACGGGGCCGGGCCGGCCCATGGTGAAACTGCTCGGCGGCCGCCATCTTGAACAGCCATTAGGGCAATAAATGCCCGCGCTGCTGGCGCTCCCCTTTTTTTTTGGGTGGACATTGGCGAGTCTCTGAAAGAGCATCGGCCGTTGTGACCGTGCGAAACGGCGAGGATAACTACATGAACCGAAGGAAGATTACGAGGCACAGTTCCGTTTCTTTACTGTCCACCCCTAATTAGGTTGGTGTGTTCGGGGAGAAAAAAAACATGAAGCCTCGTCGGTGAATTCAGATTTTTTTCCCCTCTGGAAGGAGTTGTTGGGGAAAGTGGAACTCAAGGACGGACCATTCCAGCATTTTCCCCCACGAAAAAGGGAAGGGGGGGGGGGGGGGGGGGGGGTTAAATGTACTTTGCCTAATGTATTCTCCAGTAGAGAGAGAAAAGTTTCAACTCTGCGTTTTCGCTTTCTCAGTAAGAACGGCGGCGGTTACGCAAACATAACGTCTACCGCGGAAGGAATAAGGGAAGCAGCGCGAGCCCCTAGCCTTTCCGCTTGCTTCCACCCACGGGCTCTCCCGAAGGATGAGCGCCTTCCGCACCTTGGTCCCGCGCCCTTAGCCTTCCCACTTTGTCACACGCTGGTAAAACGTAGCGTAGCTCCTTTTTTCACGCCAACACGCGCGACGCAAAATGGCGTCGTCATTTCGTACAACTTTTGTTGAGAGGCGCTAACTCTTGCGCTTGGGCATCAGTGGTATAGAGTGGCGTCGTCGGTTTCAAGTAACTTAATTAAGACATATCTAAACTTTTTTTTTTTTTTTGCCGAGTTTTTTATTTACTTTTTTGGATGTCAGGGCTTCTAGACTGTCGTCATTTTGAAACGACTGCCACACTATAGTCGCTGACAGGTTAAGCGTTCAGGGGTAGCTCCTCCCAACCCTTTCTAAGTTAGCAAAGCAACTACCGACTAGAGTCAAAGTTCTTTTGTGGCAAACATGTGGCCAAGCTCCGCCGAGGCGGAAAAGGGACCGTTAGTGGCGGAGGCTTTTCCGCGTTGCAGCGGTGCGAGTGGTTCCGCCGGAAAGGCGAACTTCAGTCGCGCTGCAAAGGTTAGCGCGATGGTTACGTATCACGACAGTTAGCCGCAATTGCGTTTTTTATCGCTGGTTGCGGACGTTCCTTGCCTTGCGCGGCTCGAACACCGGTGCATCAGAGACATAAGCGTACTAGTGGGAGAACTTTTATCGTCGAAAGTGAGACTTGGACTAAACGAGGGTGCCCGTCTAAGCCCGTGTGAACTGTACGAGGGTACGTGCCTCTTAAGGGTGCCCCGGTAACCATAGTTACACGGCTACCCTTAACCGCAGTTAGGTTTGACCTAAGTTACACTTAACTGTGGTTAAGGATGCCCGTGTAATGAGGTTACAGAACGCAGGCGAGAGCGAGTTTCTCATTTTAACATCGCTGGAGTGTGCACAAAGAGCTCGTCTTATTAATCAACGATGCCGTCCTGGGTGGCTACCATGGAGTTTACGCGAGACAACTCTTTATGAGGGTTACACTGCACTAAGCACGTTGATATCTCTAACTGGTAAGAGAGTTGTGGCATTGTCACTTAGTTAATAAACTGGTACGAGCATACTTTTACATTCGTGTCTCGTACTTGTTCGTTGTGTATACTCACCTTGAATGGAAGGGGCAAAACGCGTTTACTCGCAAACACCTACCAAAGACTCTGCACGTAAAACAAACGTGCCATTCTGAAACTGTTTATTATACAGCTCCAATGATGGGAATCGATGCTGATACATTTTTTTTCTGGGCACAAGCAGACGCCGAAAATACAAATGAAGGGCCTAGCCTAGTCCGTGATATGAATCCAAGAGAGAGGTTTACAAAAAATATTTTGATCTACCCGCAAAATCTTGCGCAGCACATCAGAGGTAGAAACCGTTAACCTATTCAAAATAATAAAATATTTATTCGAGTCAATCTCAACGAAAAAGTGGTCGTGGCAAGCACATTCTTCGAGAACTGATTATATAGTTTAAATTGTAGTCTGCTTGAAAAAATGCGTTAAGCATTTGCAATGATTAAATTGACACAGCTTCCAAATTAGCGTTTATTTGTAGCCTAGGAAAGTGTTTATTTACAATGGTTTTATGCGTGCATGCCAGTGAATACCAGTGGTTAAAAGTGGTACCTCGTTGTGCCGTTTTAGTATGCGTTTGTCGATGATTAACTTATATAAAATCCCCTTTGGGGGAAAAAAAAGGAACACATTTGCTCTTGGAATATTCCTTGTGCGGAGCAGTTTATGCTTTTACAGCGGTGCTGTTAAGGGCTAGTTTCCTCCGAATCGTGTCCCCCGCAAAGAAATGAAAACACCGAATTCTGGACAACTACCGCCATCTATGAGCGATGGCGGCAAGCCACGTATCTGGTTGCCGCCGTCACTCATAGATGGCGGCGGCCTTTCCACTCTGGCTTGCCGACTTGCGGCCTACCATTACTTTCCATTGTACAGCTCCGCTGGTCTTCCTTCTTCACCAGAGTGGAAAGGCTGAAAGTATTTTTGCTTCGGAATTCGTTCTTCGACGTCCTTATTGGCTAATGCCATAATCTGACGGACTATGGTACAATTATATGATGGTCGGGACCTGCCACAGTTCCCGACCATCATTTCGTTTCTTAAGCTGTTATACTTCGTTTACTTCGCGGCCGACTCTACGAAATAATGGTTACCAATCAAGCAGCGTCAAAAGCGCAAGTCACTGGGCATTTTTTGTTTATGACTGGTTCAGCGATGACGGAACTGTGCGACAACCGACGACGGTTCTCGTATAGTTTCTAATTTTTTTGCTCATCATTCTTTTATTATAAGAGTGAATCACGTCATACAGTGACATAAGTGGCCACCTCCAGAAGATAGTGTGTATATTTGATTTCCAAATACTGGGAGATCCGACGTCTAGTATAGAACCGGAAATGGTTGGGGGCTATTGACACACTGGCTCCACCACATTTCAACTCACGCGATAAAGAGCGAATAGGGACAATAATCGTGTACTGGCAATGGCAAACAAAAAGGAAAATAATTGATGGAGGTCGTCTGAGTCTATCCAACAAACGAAAGGTTGTCATCTGGCACTCTCCAGTTACTGCTGAATAACTTAGTGTGGGTCTAGAACACCCGGGGTTCTTTCAATCGTACGGCGCTTACAGCGCTCTCGTCAGATTCCGAACAACTTGAGTCGAATTTGAACGCACTAATTGGTGACCTTGAAAACCGCGGCCCTCCGCCTCGGAGGCACCAAAACGGCTCTGCCAACACCTGTGTATTCATTGTCATATCAAGACGAAAAAAAAAAAAAATCAATTTTTGCGTTTTGTTTATACGCGGCGCGAAATAGTTCTTACAATAAATTATTCTCGAAGGGAGAATCGGGTCTTTTGGCGCTTGAAACGTGTTCGGCTTGACAAAATGACATACATCTAATCTAAAACGCACCTACATCCATCATAATTCTCCGCATAAAAGGGGAATATTAAATATGGTCCGGGCAAGAAGCCGATCTCTTTTTTTTTTTTTTCTGTTTTTCTTTCTTATTACGGTTCTTGGTGTGAAAGCGAATATATATAACAAAGTCGTAAAGCTGATATTTCAGCGTGACCCACGACTGGGGCTCGTGTTTCCGCTGACTGAATACGAGTTTCAACCGAACGCTGGCGCCGCACCTATCTCTTCCCCGCTTTGAATTTCCTTTAGGTGACCGCCGGATTCTTCCGCACTATATACGGCTTTGTCGCCTAGGAGGCGCGCGCTCTTCCGGCGGAGAGAGACCCTGTCCAAAAGTGCATCGAGCAACATTGGTGGTCGCCATTGTTCGGACACACGAAGCGCGTGATTGGATCCGAGCCCTCGCCGAGCGCTGACGTCATCACTCCCGTCCAATAGGAGCTCAGAGCACGTGATCGAGCAATGGCGGACAGGCGATTGCGCGGACTTTTGAAAAAGGGTCTGTTTGGTGATCCGCTTCGTAAACTTGCTACGGGCAGTTCTTTGCAATAACAAAAAGCAACAAATTATTTGTTTTCAATTTCCTCTTTATTTTTTTTTCTCTCTTCAGGATGGGCCATCTATTGCTGGAGGTGCAACTCGGCCTACGACCCGAACTGCGCGGATCCTTTCAACAACATCACCTCCGACCTGGTCAACTGCGACATGCGGTCAAGAGAACACCTGCCGCCGGAAAAAAAAGCGGTGGTCTGTCGAAAGATCGTCCAGAAAGGTGAGACCCTCAACTTACGGAGTGTTTTTTTTTTTTTTTAAGCCGCAGTCGCACCGTTAGAAGAAGCAGGGATGGGCAGTATTTCAAATACAAGTATTTGAAATACGTATTTCGAATACTTTGTGTATTTCCCTTTGTATTTAATTACAAATTGGGTAATGTATTTGACGTGTGTATTTAAATACTAAAAGGTGGGTATTTCAAATACAATTGTAATTAAATACAATTTTGTGGGCGAAAATACATCCCTCAAATATATTGTCACCGTCCAGAGCAGGAAGAAAACTACGTTCTGCACCGAATGCAGTGTCTTTCAATCAAGCACAAGCGTTTAGTGATTTTGTGATTACGGTGCTAGTCCAGGGCAAGAATAGTGAGGAAATCGACGTTCACAGGCAGACTGACTAAATAAGTACCTGTGACAACTTGTGATGCTTTCCAGCCAGATTTCCATCCATATTTTTGCCTGGAATATTCTAAATGCGCTGGTCGTCCAGATTTTCGTAACAGGTGCGAGTTGCAACAACAAAAAATTCTCTAGCTAGGGCTGTGCGTCTTGTGTGACCAGTGTGGCAGAACAGCCATAGAGGGAACAAACACGTATCTGACAGCCTTTGCAGACTGTCTCTTGGTCAATGTACACTCTCGGAAATAGGGGGTGTAGTACATACACCCCTTGTCCCATATAATACACCCCAAAAAATTCAGTTCGACGTACACGGGGTTGACGTCGAACCGACGTTCCCAACTTTCAAAGACGGCTTGATCTAGCTGAGTAGTACAACTTATTAAAATAGCTAATGTACGTGTTACTGTCTACAATAAAAATAAATCGGTATTCTCTTTTACCCACCTCAAAACCGCAGTGTTTTCTTTTTGTAGTATTTGATGCGTATACGTACGGTGGTGCATGTGAAGCACCGGCGCCTCATGTCGTCGAGCCCGTCGCTTCTCCCGTAATACTTGGTGTCAAAACTTTGAGACCGCTGTTACACTCTGCGCCGCAAGCGGAGCAGATACAGTTACTCTAGTGGAGCTGGACGTTGAAGTAAGGGTTGGAGCGGGTTCTCCAAAGCAGCTTGCTATTCGAGTCATACGACCGATTTGTTTTAGTAGCGTCGATCTAATTAGACGTAGGCTTAATTAGAAAGTGCGGAGCATCGGGCTGAGGGCAGCTCTTTCGGTTTCTCCCCGACAGTATACAGCGACTTCCGCTACGTCCGCGACTGCGGTTGGCTGAGGGAGGAGAAGGAGGGAGCCAGCTGCATGCGACGCGCGGGGACCTTCAGCGTGCTCATGAAGTACTGCAGCTGCGAACACGACGGCTGCAACGGCGGACCCCACCTCCGCGCGGCGCCATCTTGGATCCTCGCGCTGGTCGCTGCGGCGACGGCTGCCGCCGCCGCCTCTGCCTCGCCGCGGGTCTTCAAATAACGCGACGTGCCGCCAGCGTGTCCGAAAGCTACCCATTGCCCGCATACTGCCCCTCGTCGGTCGCTCCGAGCGCTCGTTTTCGGGGCTCGGTGCAGTACGGAGGCACGATGCAGCCGCGACGGTCGACCTCAGGTTATGGAGCTCGTCGCCCATAGCCGCTGCGGTCGGCTCGGAGAGCTTCGATCTCGACATCGTCTCTGGGAAAGATGGGTTCCGTGGTAAGACGGCCACGACGCCGATAACTAATCTATCGTAATTTTTTTTTTAGGGTACCCGTCATTTAAGGATCAACGTTCTTGAGATTGCTTTCGCGTTCCTCGTTGTTCTGAACGGACAGACGATCGTGCTGCGAGGTCACTGGTTGTCCCGTAACGTTGAGGCGATCGGAGCAAGCCACACCTTGCGGTGTCTCAGGCTTTCGGGGACATTTTAAGAAGCGAGGGGCGTGGCTTATCGTGTTCAGGCTTCTAACTTCCTGATTGGTTCTTGGGGCTTCTAATGCCGCAGTCTCATCAGGTGTGAGGCGATAATGAGATGCTCATTTCTTGCGTTTCTTGAGCTGTCAGTGACTTTAGTTTGTTGCGACTTAAGAACTGCAGGGGAGGCTCCGCCTACAAAATAACACTCCGATCAATGCCTAAGCACCGAGTCTCATTTGGCATAAAGTGGACTTTGTCTTCGGGGGTGCATACGAAAAACAAAAAGGGCGCTGACGTATGTTTTTTTCTATTTCCGTGACGTAAGAGAAATAGGCCGTTCTTACCAATAACTGCATTGGCGTCATTTTTTTCTTCTGGGATTTGAGGACGGAGCTTATTGCTGTTCTTACGATGCAACATACTTTATAGGTTATAAAAATAACAAAAACAGCATTCTTTTTTCTTTTTTTTTTTGTAAAAGGCAAGGTAGAACATCTATGAATTTTGTGTGGTGCTACGTGTTTCGACAATTGCTCTGAAATGCATCGGCGAGGGAAAAATATGTTAGAATCCAACAGCTTTGATTTTAAGTCGACTGTTCGTGCGCTACAAGCGCGAGTTTATATTTTTTTGGAAAAGCACAATAGACCGATCTCACTAAGTGTTCGGCGCATGCGTGTCTCGGCTCACAGGAGGCAGACGGCCATGCACGCGAGGGCTCGTGCCTTCTGGTGCTCTACACGCGCAGAGCTCCAGCGAGGTTTTCGCCCGTGCAGAAGGACAAAAATTTTCTTGATGCATTGCGGCAGTGGTGGCGTAGTCAAGCTGGCTTGTGAGATCGGTCTATACCGTTCCGAAAATATATTTCCCGGGTCTCTACGTGCTCGCGCTCGTGGTTTATCATGTAAGCTCATGTTGAATAGGAGACGTCGTTGCAGTGAACCTTTCTTCCCTGAAAATGTTCGCACTTCTTTCTGGGCTGTGACGCACTCGGAAGTGTGCCTTTGCTTTCTTGCTTTTGTGAATGTTAAAGCATGCGTGTGCGTTTGGTTCGATCATTGCGTGTAAAAACGCGAGAATCGGATGCTAAGAAGTCACTTTTAACACCGCGAGTGTTCGGCACTTGTGAGGGCTGGCAAATCAGTGCCAAGGCCGGTTGCTCGGAGGGATCTATTATGTGTGGTTGAATGTGCGCCGACCCTTTCTACTGTAAAACGTCTGTCGGCCTTTTTTTTTTTTTTCAAAATAATATGTATTGTTTTTTAAACACATCTCGACACTCTGCTAAAAAGTAAGATGCTATATGGAGTTTATTTTTCAATAACTAAACGGCGAGTAAATGATCTGAGGCTTTACTGCGCGCTTACAACGTTTAAGTAAAGTGTGGTCATGGTTAATTTATGTGTGTTAGCGCAATTTTCTCTACAGACCGTTGTGGTCTCGCTAAGAAAACGGTCTGTTAACTTTGTTCGCAAGGTTGAGGTTAACCTTACCATTGAGTTTTCTAGATCCAAAGGAAAACAACTATGTGCGAACGCGCGCTTATAGATGTGACACTGTTCTTCACCGAACAGAGCTGGCGGGGCTGAGTTCAGCTTCGAGAACATTGTGTGGATGAAAACCACCGATAAAAAAAAAAAAAGTTGGTCATTTTGTGAAGGGTGCATTGCTTGTCCCCCCTCTGAGATATAGGTCACGTGACGCAGGTCACTATACTACTACACGTGCGACGGTTAGTTTCTTCAGTGAAGCCGTAGCGTAGACTTTCTATTAAAAAAAAAAGAGATAGGTATTGCCGAAGCACTCGTCGTCAATGTCAATCGCGAAAGCTGTTCGTGTATATAGTATACATAGAGTGTGTACATTTTTTTGTTGGTTGTCTTTGTTTCGTCGCGTTCAAGTGCACGCGCATCATTCTAGTGTCGTCGCGACTCATTGTAGACTAACATTGTCTTTGCTCTGGTTTTCACTTCTTGCGTTCCTCGCAAGGGGTCGTTGTTAGTCCGAAGGCTTACCACACACGCGCGCTCACGCTCGAGTTTGCAAAGTTGACGTTCGACGCCACTGTCCCCGTGAGAGTCGTTTCCTCTACTGCCGTTTTCGCCGTGTAGAGCTGTTTATAAATCGAAAGCACGATTCTTTATTGTGGCATGTGTTCTTCCGATGATGTGGGTCTGTCACAGTGCATTGAACGCTGTTTGGCCAAACGCTCCACTGGTCTTTCTTTTTTTTTCGAAAGATACACCGCCAGGATCGATTAGTAAAAAAGAACGATGCTTTGAAGTTTTAACGAATTTTTAGAGAATTTTAGAATGGGAATCCCCCGAGCTGCATCGGGTGTGCAATGATTTTGGGTTCTCCAAGCTGCATAGGGTATGCAAGGCGTTGAGACCACTTAATCTAAAACTCTTCGTTGTCGCTTCGTGAAATATGGTCACTGCAAGAAGCAGCCGTGCCACGTGATGGCAATGCTTATTCTTCTCGCTCAGCTTGTAACATCATCAGTGCTCTGATGCATCGCTTATTAACGGCATACATAGCCTGCTGGCACAGTTCTCTCTTGTAATGTGCTCTGTTCTGTAGTTCGTGTGTGCTCTTAATTCTTTCTTTTTTTTTCGAAACAAAATTTCTTTTTGTAATTAATCTATAATCCCTTGAACACTTGTTGTCTAGTTTATCATTCCTTTAAAAGTTATTTCTTTCTTTGATCACGTGCATGATGTTTTTTGGGAATCTATAGGGACGACAATTTCTCCACGAAAGCTCTTAGAGTCCTACATTGCAGATGATCCGTATAGAGCAGTGAAGGGAAGAAATGAGAGTGTTTAGAGGGTATTTTTCGCAAAGAAGCGCCACTACGTTTTTACTCACACGAGAATGGGTCAATGAAGTGCCGTGCAGGGCACATTTCAGAGAGCTGAATTCGACCGATGTGACGGATAAGGACGGATGATAGTGAAATAAAGTAGCTCAGCGTTCCAATGTGGCACGGCAGCTTTCCCTTAAACGTTAGCGTACCATTAGTTTTCATTGTCTGTATGTCTTGTCCACTTTCAAAGCAGCCGACAAGCAAACATCGGTTTCGAAATGTCCCGAGCACACAGTTTGGGAGCATCACACCCAAAGCTGGACAGTGATGAACTGTAAAGGCGTGGGACGTCCGTGCAATAGCCGCCGAAATCCACCGCGCCCTTCTTTCGGAGAGGCCCAGGTCGAAACAGGCAAATATGATGACTGTCACAATGTCAGATTTTAGTAGATATCGCTCGCCACGAAGGGATAATCCTCGGATCATCCTCCCTAGAATGTCACCATGAACAAGGAACGTCGTTGTATAGAGTCACTGCCACACAAGTCCTGAAAACGTTTCCCTTTGCAAAAAATGAGAAGTTAGGAACAGCAATATAAGACACCTAGAGTATAGAGCATGCCTACGCCAATTGCATTGGGTGACGAGGAGATAGCATTAAAATCAGCGATATGGGACTCGTTGTAGAATCGTTCTTGAAGCGTTCTTGATATCTGGAGCACATTGAGGACGAACACACACATAGTATGCAGCGTGACTGAAGTTTGGTTTCTAGGGAGCTCGCGAACAGGCAGCGTTTCTAATAATGCACACGTATGCAGTGAAAAAAAAAAAAAAAAAACTGCCACCACACAGATTTTAATTATCAGCTCGTCATGAAGGATACTTACTGCTTTGAGTTCTTTGGCGATCGTAGTCGCAAATGTGACCATAGATAAAAAAAAGAAAAGAATAACGTACGTTCTTACGCACTAGGCCACGCATCCGGGAGGTGTTAGGATCATTATAGTACAGCATATTAACCGATAATATTATTCGTAACATTCTGTATTGTCATACCGCTTTTTTTTTTTTTAATGTAGGCAGATTGTTCGGTTTTGCATTATATTGTGAAACAGAGATTGTATTACTAAGATAAGAGAGATAGAGAGAAAGAGAGAGCGCGAGTTCGAGATAGGGAGATGACTGGTGGGAGTTTACGTAGATCACAACTCGACAAAAATCCCGCACCGGAATTTGTGGAATTCCATTTACGATGGGAAGTACAAAAAGGAGACTTGATTCCGTCCTACATCAAGCAGGCGTTTTCTTCAAAGACAGAGACAAACACTATTTTGGGCACCACCCCTTAAGTACGTTTCTGGTCACTTAGTCTTCAAAATATTATACCTATCTCAAAGCCGATTACATTCATCTCTACCGCCCCGTCGTATGGGACGCTCATATCTTACATTGAGCTGTTTACAATACAAAAACTTTGTCCCAAGATAGTATCTTAATTTGATATAAAGTGGGGTAAACATAAAATGAAAAGAATGAACACTACGTAGGATTCTAATTGCATAATGCAGAGAGGCTTTTCATTGTAGGTTTTTAACCTTTTTTTTTTCAAACATGATATTTTGATAACTGCGTATTTTTTTTAAAGTATGTGTACGTGCTGACGTAGCACTACAGCGCGCACATGGTATATTAGTAAAAGGATAATATGAGTATTTGCCTCCGTACGTCGTTAAAATATGATTGTTATTGAGAAGAAGACGAAAGCATTC